CTGAGTAGCTGGGATTACAGGCACGCGCCACCATGCCCAGCTAATTTTTTGTATCTTTAGTAGAGACAGGGTTTCACCATTTTGACCAGGATGGTCTCGATCTCTTGACCTCGTGATCCACCCGCCTCGGCCTCCCAAAGTGCTGGGATTACAGGCTTGAGCCACCGTGCCCGGCCGAGGTAAACTCTTTCTATGAGTTTCTTAAAATTCATGAAAGTAGTCTGTATTGATTTAAATGGTATCCTTTCAAAAGCCATGTCCATTTCCAGAACCCCAGAATGTGCCCTTATTTGGAAACTGCAGATGTGCTTAATTAAGATGAGGTAATACTAGAGTAGAGTAGGCCCTACTACTCTAGTAGAGAGGAGCAGAGCCACAGGGAATGGTGGACATGTGAAGACAGAGGCAGAGCTTTATGTCTCTGAGTGACGTGCCTGCAAGCCAAGGAAGGTGGTGCCTTGCCAGCCACCACCAGGAGGTCAGAGAGAAGCATGGAGCAGATTCTTCCTCTAGTGGGAACCAGGCTGCTGGTGTGTTAATTTCAGACTTCGACCCTCCAGCACTGTGAGACAATAAATTGCCTGAAACTAGTTTAAGCCACTCAGTTTACAAGAGTGTATTATGTCAGCCCTAAAAAGCTAATACAGAGGCCTAAAGAATTTCAATAAAGGTGTCAGGAATTATAGATTACAGACAATACTGATAGGACCTTGTAGCATTCTTACACTTCTGTAATGTTTATTGCTCTTTTGGTCTTTCCTATTTTGTTTTTATTGTGATTAGCAAAAAAACCACTGGGGAAAAAATGAAGAAATAATACCAACAGAAACAAAGCTATGTACTTGTTTTGGGAAGCAACTTAGAAAGGCAAGATGGGGGCAGTGTTCTAAAAGGTGAGGAGAAATGTATAGCGATGATAGTCCCTCCGTGGTCCTGTGCAACACTGAATTCTGAGAACTTTGAACCAAACCTAAGTATAGGTTAGTGTCCAGTAAGTAGTTGCTGAATGAATGGATGAGTCACCAAGTAAGTAAATTGATGAGGTAATCAGTCTGTAAGACAAGAAGCAACACAGATGAGTAGACACAGTGGGTGAGTTTGACTAACAATTGAAGATCACCCATTTTTTGAGCCAACAAATGTGTGAGCATCTGCTTTTTGCCAGGCATGGTTGTTGGTGTAACGGAATAGAAAAGCAAAGTCGTATTGTCAAGGAGCACAGACTCTTGGGGTTTAGCAGCAGGAGCATAGGAAAAATCAGAGTTTCTGCCATTTTTAAAAATTAATTTTTAACTGGAATATAGTTGGAGTCAAGTTGCTCAGAAATAAAGCAAGATAAATTAATCGGTTTAAAATATCTTTCACACTACTCTTTATGGAAAGTGTAGCGAAGGGTCTAGTCTCTAAAGGTAGGCAACTTGAGATTCCCTTTTCCTGTATTCCTTTAATCCCTGTGCCCCAAAAGGTGCATTCAGTCCATCATTTGTATCTATCCTATTGGTTCTTTCCCTCTGGAGAACCATAATACAGATGCCAGCAAACCAAAACCAAGTGAAAATTTCGACCACTGAAATTCCATTGAACAGAAAACAACGTTCTTTCTCGTTTGGATTTTATATGAGCCCCCAAGAAAAGCTGCTATTGTCCTAGTTTGTAAAAGTGCAAATGGGTGAGTATGCATCTACTCCGTCTAGTTGGAAAATTAGCCCAGGTTTCAGCACTCCTCAGTACCAACTGGTTATTGAATGTGTCCTAAGGGAAGCTTCTGTACAGACCAGTACACCGCACAACTGCAGAAATTCTCTAATTAAAGAAACACACTATGATCTTCCTGGTGAAAGTGAAGGAAAGTTTTTTTGGATAAATGCATCTGTATAAGATACATTTGTGTAAAAAAAAATCTCTTTACATTAAAGTGCAGCTGTATTGTTAGATGTTGTTCCAAGAAAGCTCAGCTTAAAATTTCTTATGGGTTGCTCTGGCTTAAAATAATTGCCTCACTGGATGCTCAGAAACGAACGAGAAACCAAATACATATCATAATTGTCATTCCAGACTGTTAAATAATACTGCACAGTAGAAAGCTTTTGAAAAATATTTTAAATGATAGATTCTATTTTGGTTTGAGGCAAAGTCTTAAACATAACAAGTTAAATAAGTTTTTAATGAAATTTTACAAGCAAAAGATTAATGTTCAAGACACAAAATCATGCCTTTTAGAAATGACTCTCATGATATTCTATTATTTTTAAAACTATGTGACTATTTTTAGGAATTGAAATTGCCCTGGTAGATACCTGCTAGATGCCTATCTCACAAATCATCTTTTTCTATTATAAATAAATTTTGTAAATGTTTTAGTTTATGAGGTTTTAAAATTTTGTTTGTTTGCTTGTGTGTTTGTTTGTTTGTTTCAGACAGGAACTTCGGACTGTCTCTGTCACCCAGGCTGGATTGCAATGGTGTGATCTCGGCTTCCTGCACGCTCCCTTCTGGGTTTCAGGGATCCTCCCTCCTCAGCTTCCCAAGTAGCTAGGACTACAGGCATACACCAACATGCCTGGCTAATTTTTTAATTCTTTGCAGAGATGGGGTCCATATTTCTCTGGTTGGTCTTGAACTCCTGGGCTCAAGCAATCTCCCACTTTGGCTTTCCAAAGTGTGGGATTACAAGCATGAGAAAGCATGACTACTGAGTTTATAATTTTTACATTCAGTTCATTTTTATATGGCTGGCACTTGAGGAGAATTATTTTTATAACCAATATATTTTAGGTATGTAACAAAGAAGTAAATGACTACTGAATCTGCACTGGAGGAAATATAATTTTGAAAGTGTAAAAATTCTATTTGATAGACGGCACCAAAAGTAGGGTGTCACAGGCTTGAAGAGCCTGAGTGAGTTTGGGAATAATAGGGGCGAAGACTGTCCTTCCAGATCCCAGGTCTGGTAGCAGTATGGTTTTAAATTCTGTCTGTTGGAGGTCTCAGCTTCTAACATAACAAAATGCGCCTGATTGGAAAGATGTAAGATACCAGGTTAGAGGGAGAATTGGAGGAAGCAGACAGGAGACAGTAAGAAAAGGGTGATGTTATTCTTCTGCTAACTTGTGGGTACTAACAAATTTCATCAGAATGTTGCTAAGGATTCCTCAGAACAATGAACAAAGATAACTGTAAGGAGCAGAGGGCTATTAAAATGCTCATGGGTGCTGACAGGAACCCGGGTGGGTGGTGGGTTGAGAACATGGAAAGCTCTGCAGGGGGTGATGGAACTGTGCTTGACACCAATCAAGGGAAGCCTGGAGAAACTGAGGCAGGGACTGGAATGCTGCTGAGACAAACATTTTGAGGGCTACCAGGTACTAACTCAATAATATGTCTTAGGTAAAAGGGAATTTGGAATAATTTGAACTGTGGCTGGCCAAAAATTTCATACCCTATTTATAGCCATTCATCAGATTCAGAATGAGTTAAAGGAAGGATTCTTTTTATTATTTTTTAAAATACACACTTCATTTTTTACACCCACATCATAAATCATCTAGAGGGAGAATTAGGCCTTTGGATCTCCCTTTTTGTAGTACCTCATATGTAATTTTTGTAAGACTCTTGTTTTTTGGTACAAGTGAATGTTTTATAAAGAAAACACTTTTTTTTCATTTTCTATAAAAATACCTCTGTGTGAAAATTGATAAGAGACCTAATTATTGTATCTTTACATAACTCTAAATTTAGTCTATGTAAAAATTCAAGACATAGACATTTGGAAATGACTTTCTCCTCTCAGTACTGAAGTTGGGAGGGAGAAGAAAACAAAGTGAGAAATTCCAGTGCCTGGATATTCCCAGGCTAATTTCTAGACAAGTGACTTTTGATAAGTTCACGTTTCAGATAAGAATTTCTTTTTTCTTCTCTTGTTGGTTTTTCCAAATGGTGAGTAAAAATGTCTCTGAAAGAGCCAGAAAAATATATGTGAATGTGGAGAACTATTGACATAAGATTTTAGTAAATTAGTATGAGAATGAGACCCTCTAATAAATATTATTTAGAGTTAATTTAATAGTCCTCTTCCCTATCATAACCATTTAATAATGTGGGTGTATATATGTGTCCATTTATAAAAATTTAGTATGAAGTGCTTAGTTTTTCTTTATGAAAAACATACAAAATAAATGCAAATAATTGAAGCCTTTACACATTTTTCTCCTAAATTCTGTAAATAGATATTCCAATAAAGACTCTACCAACATCTTACTTTCTGTATTAAATATAATTGAGAGTATTTACATATTAAATTTTTTAAGTGAAAAATAATTGAATTTCAAATTGTCTTAAAGATTCATAATGTAATATTCTTCACCCTAAATCACCCAGATTATTTCTAAACTAATTTTTTTACTTTGCCTTCATAAATGCAGACTTTGATTAATATAATTTAGTAACTGATCAATCTGAGATATTTTTACCTTCCCACAAAACTTACTTTGGTGCTCAAATGTACCAAACAAGTTTCTGTGGTCAAGCCCCTCTCCTTTTCTAAATTTGCTTAGAGGATCTCATAGGACCTAACTCCTCTGACAAGGGGACCATTTTAGCACCAACACTACAAAAGCTTCTGTGTTCATAGGGAAATATCCGCCCCTGAATTAAATTTAACCGCTTTCGTATTCCCATTTAGCCACCTGATAAATCCACTTGAGCTATCTTTTGGGGAGAGAGAGGTACATGGGAACAATAACACTTCCTTTTTGAACAGTTTAATAAAGCTTTGTGAGATTTCAAGATGAAAGATAATGTGTAATGCTGATAGTGCCCTCCAAAGCTCTACATTCATGGCTCCAATTACATTTTTTTGTCATGGTAAAAGCCACAGTGGATATTTTAAATGAGAGTGTGGCTTAAGAATGAAGGCCCAGGAGTCTGGAGATCTGGTTTCTAAGGTTGACTTAACTTCTGCTTTCTTATCTCACTATAAGTATGCAGCTTAACGTCTTTACCTCAGCGTCTCCTTCCATAAAGTGCCCAGCAAATAGCCGAGAAATTCTTTTAAAATGACAGTGCAAATTGCCATTTAGAATCACCTTGGAATGTCTAGAAAAAAATGAGGTGAGGGTTCGAAAAGGGAAATACAATCTTCTGCTTAATTTCAGATTTATCATAAAGTTCATCTTTTACTTTTTAAAAGTCATGAGATTTCCAGAAGAGGAGTGACATTTTCAAAGCCGTAAGGACACTTGTGAAAAACACTCCTTCAACTATTCTTTATTTCTCACCAAAATTTTGACTCTGGCTTTTCTCCAAATTCCCCTCTTTCCCAATTCCCAATTCCAACTTGAAAAGAGTAACTGCAGCGTTAACTTCTTCCATTCTGGAGTATTTCCTTGCAGCTAATTTGCTTCATATCATTGTAAATGTATGCATGTCAGATTTTGTTTCAGATATACATGATTGCTGGCTTTAGTCAGTCAATCCCCAAACCCTTAAACGGATTTATTTAACTGTAAAATAATTGATTATGAATTTGTAGCATTATCTAATTTCATTTTAAAATTCAAGTTGATACAACATTGCCATTTATTGATTATTCTATTGTCCTTCGCCTTGAGAGAATCTTGAAGAAGCAGAATAGTGCCATTAGTAAAACAACATCCGTGCATTACAAATGACCATGCTCTTAAAATACACACACACACAAACACACACCATACACACACACCACACACACATACATGCACCACACACACACCGCACACACCACACACACACACACACACACACACACACACATACACAGCTTCTAGCAATAAACCATGTTTTGAGTAAAATCTTTTGAAAGATGTTTAGCAAACCAGAACAATTTGTCTTCCTATGCGATGCCTGCAGTTATATCGTTTAGATATTTATTGAAGGACTTGTGGGGTATCATAGTACAATTGGGATTATTCTCAACATATCAAAGATTCATTCAGTATAAATAAAATAATTTCATTAAATATAATAAACAAAGCTATAGAAAATTTTATAACCCAATAAATAGGATGCCATAGAAATATTCAACAAAGATAAATAAAATATATACATAGCTTAAATTAGACCATCTGTTGTAGAATTGTACAGGCTAACTTGAACTCTCTGGCCAGGAACTTTCCAACGTGAAACCACACATGATCATACGTACAGTGTATTCTTGACTAATTCCTTGTTCCAAAGGAAAGTTTGACAGGGAAGTTGAATAATTTAGCTTCCTTATAGAGATAGTAGAACTTCTTTAAGTAGCTTTCCTGTAGTACAAAGATTAGGCAGCTCTGATTGGAACTCTAGATTGAAAATGAGTAGAAATAACCTCTTACAGAACACATCTAAATTTAACTTTGCTTCACACCAATAAACTATAGCCTCTACTACTTTATAGACAGATTAAAGCTCATCAGTATGACTAAAAATCACTGTGGAATTACTCTGTAATAGTTCTGTTGCTATGCCTATAAATATAATTTCACTGAGTGACTTCCATTTTCTGGCTGCTTGGCTATAATTTTTTTGTGTGACAAACTAAAGGGCTTTAGGAATACTGTAAATGACCGATTTAAATAGTCTCAGATAAAACATGAAAGTCAAAATTAAATCATGTGGTTAAAAATTGTTTTTCAGAACAATTAAAAATTATTTGCAATTGATTGTAACTTAATGTTTATACTATTCTAAAAAGCTAAAAAATTGTATTTCACTTATACTCATAAAGCCTAACATATAGAAAATAAAAACATTAGGGGAAAAATCCTATTACCTAAGTGAATACATAAATAAATTATTATCCTAAGAGGCAAAAGAAAGGCAGACAGCATCAGATATTATAGTCTGGTAGAGCTTGAGTACTAGATGGTCAAACAGTGGAAAATAATCTGGCAAACAGTTTTAAGTGTTTTATATTTAAAACACCTACACACACACAGGTAGGCTGTGTGAAATTTACATGTTATTGTTGTGTATGGACAGGCTTATTTTTCACATATTACTCTCTTAATAGCCTGTAGTTTTAAAGAGAGAGAGAGAGAATTGTCACCCAAGATGCTTGAAAAAGATGGGTAGTTTGAGGGCAATCCAGATTTACTGATGATATGGGGCCTGGAAATCTGAAAATTTAACAAACTTTCCTAGTAATGTTTATAAAAAACAAAATTCAAGAAAATCTACCAAATGAGAAAATACAAAGAAGACAATGGATACTTTTTTTAAAAAAAGTTCTAAAATGGTTACTATGTTATAGACAAATTAAGGATATTTGAGCTAGAAAAAAGTTCAACATGAAGTATAATTTAATATTTTTAAAAATCCAGAGAAGTTGCTTTCATACATTTCAAGATTAGGATTTAGCTTTCTAGTGGTTAAAAGTTAAAAATGAAGATACATGCTCTGCATAGGGCTGAGGAAGGGTAAGGGATCCAAGGACATAATTATCTCTGTAAATGCCTTTGTGCCACTTACAAACAGGTGTCCTCCCACCTTCTCTCCATCCTTCTTTTCTTGTTATCTTCTCTCTTCCTTCTTCTCTCTGCTTCGCTGCAGCAGTATTTAAATGGATATATAATACATATTAACTCTATCACATCTTTTAACATACACGTTGGTTTAACGATTGTATAGCAATTGCAGGACTTGTCCATTTTAATTAATTTTTCACAGGTTTATGGTTAAAACAAAACTCCCTCAGAGACTCACATATCCTCTGTTACTTGAAATATACACATCTGTGTTTTGAAATTAAGCCCAAATGAAGGATGGCTTCTCTCTCTCTGGATCGGACTATACTTTGAGTCATTTAATTACAGTAAGACAAAAATATCAAGACGGCAAGAAAAAAATCAACTGTGGTGCCTCATTCTTTATTCCCCATGGAATGGATTGCCCATACCATAGATACATAACACACGCATCGCCTTCCTAAAGCTCCAAACCTCATGATAAAATGGTTCGTTTGTCCCTTCCCTGTGAGAGTACTGGGAAGTTTCCTGTTCTCTATCAAAGGGCCTTTCCTCCTATGCTGACCACAAGCCAATTTTTCAAGGGCCTGTTAAGTTATATTAGTATTTTATGAGCTCTTAGATAAAGTTAAATTTTCCTTAGATTTTGATGTGGAAAGAGAATGGGGTGTGAAAGTGAATGCAGGGAGAAGTTGTGAAAGACTGTGAAATGAGCTGTAAAGATTACTAAATCACCTGACTAGCAGAGTCTTCCAATATTTCTCTGCCTTTCATCATCTTTGAGCTATTTTGCTACTTTGTAAAATTTTTGAAATATGATATGAATGCAATTGACTTTCTTCCAGAAAAATGCAGTTTTTGTGTCCAGTGAAAATGCTATTGATTATCTCTGTGAATAGATCAGTTTCACATACTTATGATTTTAAATATGCCCTTGAATGGGTTCTAATGTCTTACTGTTTCTCTTATCAATCGAGTAAAATCTTTTATTTTTGTTTACAATATAGTTGGATGCACTTACAATGAAACATTTTTGAAAGTCTTATCATGTAATAAAACCCACCTTCTAGACAAATAGTACTCCCTTTCTTATTTTCAAGGAAGTGACAAAAACTTATTTGAAATACTGAGCCCATTGATTTATTCTATATGAACATTTCCTAGACGTCCCTTGGTGTCATCTAGGTAAATTTCCTATCAAATCTGTGCTAATATGTTATTTATCCTAGAACTGGTTCTTAGCTCAAATTCTATACCATGTATTCCATTCCTATATCCTTAATTTCATCAATATAAAGTGCATTTGCCACACATTTGGTTTGATCAATATTATCCCCTGTATAATTTCTTTAACTCAATTATCAAACAGTATTTTAAAATTTGAATGGCTGGGTGCAGTGACCCACACCTATAATCCCAGCACTTTGGGAGGTCAAGGCAGGCAGATCACCTGAGGTCAGAAGCTGGAAACCAGCCTGGCCAACATGATGAAACCCCATCCCTACTAAGAATTCAAAAAAATTAGCCAGATGTGGTGGTGTATCTCTGTAGTCTCAGCTACTTAGGAGGCTGAGTCAGGAGAATCACTTGAACCTGGGAGGCAGAGGTTGCAGTGAGCCTAGAGTGCACCACTGCACTCCAGCCTGGGCAACGGAGTGAGACTCTGTCTCAAAATAATTTAAAATAAATAAATAAATAAATATAGAATATTTTGGTCGAGTGTACATTGATGAGCTGTTTTATTTATATATGTAGAATTTCTAAAATAATTTTGCTTTTACCAATCTAGCTTCTATAATGTATAAATATGTAATAAATAGTAGATACTATTAACGAATGTGCTGTTTGGTATTTTGTTAGTTGACTTAAAAATGAGTATGATAAAAAGGGATGGTATCAAAGGCATTTTAAAATTGTTAGCCATTGGGATAAAAAAAATAGAAAACCGAGACAAGTCACCAGCATGGCTCCACAAAGAGATTTCAGTTTCCCCAAAACTGGAAAATCCTACCATTTTACATGAGGACAATCTGCTTAACATGTAACAAACATACCTGCTATATATTAGAAATTATGTTTGTGAATCCTTAAGCAATTATTTTTAATCTTGATAGGTTGGCTGGGCGCGGTGGCTCACGCCTGTAATCCCAGCACTTTGGGAGGCTGAGGCAGCTGGATCACAAGGTCAAGAGATCGAAATCATCCTGGTCAACATGGTGAAACCCCGTCTCTACTAAAAATACAAAAATTAGCTGGGCATGGTGGTGCGTGCCTGTAATCCCAGCTACTCAGGAGGCTGAGGCAGGAGAATTGCTTGAACCCAGGAGGAGGAGGTTGCAGTGAGCTGAGATCGCGCCATTACACTCCAGCCTGGGTAACAAGAGCGAAACTCCGTCTCAAAAAAAAAAAAAAAAAAAAAAAATCTTGATAGGTTTATTCTGATTGGACATATAACAAGAATATAACTCTAGTCTCTTCTTGCAAAAAATTAATTCCAAATTAGCAAGATGATTCCAGTAAAGAAACATGTCAAGCCTGTGGACAAAAAAAAAAAAAAAAAAAAAAAAAAAAAAAAAAAAAATAGATCAAA